GCCTAGCTCATTCGACTTGCGTAGCCATTCGTTTTTGTTGCAACTACAAAATTCTGCTGCAATTTAACATCAAATAATTGAAGTCTTAAATCGAAATTTCCAAAAAATGATTCAAATAAAATTATACGTACCAACACTGAATTTTTTTAATAGTAAATCTGTCAAAAAAAAAAAACCATACACAGCGCTGCAGTGGTAGGCTAGATATTATTATGTCAATTAAACATTGCTACTAATTCCTATTTAGATGTCAACCAATCTATTTAAATATAACGCTGCATAAAGCTAGTTTACTGTCCAACCTGAGTTATGAAGACATTTAAAACATATACGACGTATATACTGTCAACATAATTTTAAACCTGTATATTTTACATTCGATAAGGCAGCAAAAGCTTTGCTTGATGGTAAAACAGCAAGAGAACGACAACTATAAAAATAAATTTTATATTATTTAATGAATATAAAATTTATTTTTTTGGTAGACTTTCTTATAAGTGTTAATTGGGTAATTTGCATTAAAAATGCTTTTTCTATGTCCGGAAACTTTGACACAATTTTTTCCAAAAAATAAAATTAAAAATTTTAAAATTATATGAAATTTATATCAATTTGGGAAATTTTTTTATAAAAAATTTAATTTGTTTGAATAATTTGTGCCGCTAAATAAAATTTTTATCCCAAATAATAGAACCCTGCAAAAAAATTCCATACAAAAGAAGTTGTCCGCACTTCAAAAAAAAAATTACTTTAAGAAATAAAATCAAAAAATTATACTACGCAATAAAAAATGAGGTAGCCTGGCGCCAACTGCATTGCTAGACTCCCGTTATATCACGTATTTGAAAAAAAATTTGATCGAGAATTTAATAATTTTTAAGCGAATTTGAGTGTCCTGAGTGTTAAAAGTGAATTGTAAATATTTCCTGAGTGTTATTTCAGTTCGTTGTTAAAACAAAAAATTAAAAGCTTGTTTCTCAGTATTGCAATATTTATAATAGAGAGTGTAATGATATTTAAATAGAAAAAAATATTATAAAATTGATAAACAAAAATAAATAATTTGGGAAATATCAATACTATGGTAAGTAGTGAATTTTGGTAACGAAAAAAACTCCTGAGTGTTATATCATGTTAACTGTTTTTAAATGGTCTAAATATATTAAAATAATTTTTTTTTTCAAATCAATATTATATTTTAGTTCATTTTGATGTATGTAAAAATTTCCTGAGTGTTACTTTTTCCCATATAAAAAGTTTTACAAAAAAAAAGTGTTAGTGTGACTTTTTTTTTAATTTAAGGCCAGAACATATCTAAAAAGATGCAACAATATCAACGTCAACAGTGGAATGAGCAATATAAAAGAAAAAGAGATAAAATAAAGAACGATAGAACTAATGCGGCATGAAAGTTAAGTGAGTCTCAGCGCTATTCCGAATCAGTGCTAGCGTCGCCAGAAACCCTCGCTTCTGAATATCTGGAAAAATCTGCTACAATATCTGGAACAGAGACTGCTAATGGTGACAAAGGAGCTAAAGAGATAAACGAAAATTGGCAACAAAGATTAAAAGAAAAGCCAAACAATATAAGAATTTAAGACAACAACTATACCTACTTCAAAAGGAAATGGAAAACTTGAAAAGTAAATGTAAGTTAGATATTGATAAGGCAGAAAAATACAGGAAACAATGTTCAAGGCTTGCAAAAACGTGTGACGCATGGCTTTTGTGGCGCATGGCACTGATATCCCAGATGCACATGCTTTTTGTAATAGTCTATAGGCAAATTAGATGTTAAGTTATTTTTCGTTCCTACAGAAAATTTTCCTGAATACACTAAAAAATTACCAGATGGTATAAAAACAATTTCTGGAACGGGGGACATTCATCAAATTATATGTTTCCAAAAGAGTAAAATCATGTACAGAAATCTTTTTTGTTTTTGTAAAACGAATAATTGGATACAGGGAAAAGTATGTGACAATCATAAAATGAAGGCAAAGGCGTTCGACATGTTACCCAAAATACAAAACAAAAGTAGACGTACATTGATTTAAATATAATGAAATTTATACAGATTCAGAATCTTAAAAAGAGAAAATGCAATTTTATTTAACAGATACGTATTTCTTTTGCATTGCCCCTTTTTAATTTTTGATTATTTTTTGAAGAGACTTTAATTTTAATTTTTTATACATTGAAATACTTTAAGTTTTTGAAGCAAATATTGAAATATTTTTTAAGTTTTTGTCATGTTAGAAGTTCTAAATATATTAAAAAATAAATTTTTTATAAAAATAATGTTTTTATTCTAAGTTTTATTTCTGCCTTTCCTGAGTGTTATAAAATTTCCTGAGTGTTATCGTATTCCGAGCTTTTGAGAATTAATAATTTTAGGTTTAATCAATTATCAAGTTAAATTTGTATTATAGGATAAATTACTCGAGTATAAAATATATCTAATAAAATACTTTTTTCAAAAAAATTTTATTTTTTATAAAAAATATTTAAATTTAGAAAAAATTTAGCAAATTTTTCAAGAGATAGAAACAAAAATTTCTATTTTTTATTAAATTATATTTGAATATTAAAAAAATGGGTTTACATATTGAAAGGTTTTGTATTACTAAGGCTAGTAAAACTTTGTGAAGGTTGAAAAAATTATAGCAGTCATTCAATTTTTTTAAAATACATTTGATAACACTCAGGAGTAAAATTCTTACCTTTTTTCATAAATCTTGAAATAAATCTGAAAATTTTGTCTATTCGAGTGTCCCATCACTAAATTAAAAAAATTTAAACATTTCTTCACTCTAAAACGCCTTTCCTACTTTTAAAAAGTTAAATCGTAAAAAAAAAAAAAATTGCAACTGAATGTACATTTTGAATGCAAATTACCCAATTATAAAAATAATAATTGCTATTGTAATAACTAATAATATTCATATTTTTTTGTTTTGTTCTTTTGTTGTTAATTTTTTTTTATTTTTTATGACAATTCAAATTTAGTTTTTGTTGTCGCAATTTTTCGACACTGAAAATATCAACAAATCAAGTTATATTTGAATATTACCATATTTTTATCATAATTATCAATGAATACATACAATCATTTTATAGATAATTTTGATGCTACTACTTAATATTAATACTTTATTGCTACACTAAATAATTGTCATAAATTTGAACAATGTAAAAGCCGTCCTTTTGACGAACGCATATACTCCAAAAAAATCTATTACAGTACAATTGAATCTTCTGCAATTTCAACATCCTCTTCACTGCAATACGATATCATAAAACGACAGCTCTGATCTCGCCGATAAAAATAGGGTCATAAGATTCATGTGACATTGAGCCTTATTCTAGTTGTCGCGTCACTTACGTGACATTTGTCGTTGTCGCTGTCACATCACTTGAAATGTGGTATTCTAGTTGTCGAGTGACGTGACTGCGAGAAATAAACGAAAATGAAACGTTTCAAGTGAAATTGATACATTTTAAAAAGAAATTTTGGTGAGTAAAGTTCAAACTAAAAAAAAAAATTTGGTGTATATATGTATTTATATTTTTAATCCGAGGGAAATAGAAAATGTCGTCATTTGCATTATGGTTTATGGATTCATCAGACTCCGAGAGTAATGAAATTGAAAAAAAAACAACAATTAAGGATCAAAAGATTTAAGATTAGGGACAGCTCTATTGGATTTGCCAAATGGAGTGCAAGATAATAATTTTTTCAAATACATTAGTTACAAACATTTTATTTTATTCACAGATTTATAAGCTATTACAGACTTTCAAAGGAGAACTTTCTATATTTGCTAAATATATTTGAGGGAAAAACAAGTACCCCTAAAAGGTGTTTTGGAGTCTCACCTAAAATTAAATTAGGAGCTGTTTTACGCTTCCTATCTGAGGGCAGCTATCAAAAGGGTGTTGCTAACGATTTATATACAGGTTTATGATTCCTTTATTGAAAATTACCTGAAATTTACATAAATTAATTAAATTTTAAATTAAACTTATGTTAAAATTACCTTCTGCCATCCTGCAGTACTTCTAATGGGCGGACCCAAGCTATTAAGCTTTTCTGTTAGCTGGTTCCATTTTGCATCAAACTCGCATTTGCTTATGCAGCTTTCTCAGCAAATTTAAGGCCTTTGGCAATAAAGGCGTTCTCCGTCATAAAATTTCCCAATTCTTCAAATTGCTTCCTTGTTGTTACTTTTAAGCTAAAAATAAAAATTAAATTATATATTATATGGTTTAATTTATGTATTAAATTACAAAATTTATTATTTTTTATATTTTTATTATATTTTTATTAAATTGTTTTGTTTAAACTTACATTTTTGGTGTATCCATCTAGCTTGTCACTTGTTAAATACATTTCGACAAAAAACGTCGTTTCACTACGACATGTGTCGCTCTACAACGACAACTGGAATATACCTGAAACACATTTTCCCGCTATTCCACGACACGTGTCACTGTAATCGCCATTTAGAATATCAAATTCAAGTCGTGACGACAATTGTCGCTCTACTTCGACAACTAGAATAAGGCTCATTGTAAATTTTATCTACTTTTGGAAGTCGGGCATACTTATGAATTTGCCAAAACTTAATATTTTGAATTTGTGACATGCTCTTGTAATTCTTTAATACCTGAAACTTTTATTATTCACCTCTAATTTATATTTTTGCAGTAGCTATATAAAAATTTTAGAGATTTAAGCAACACTTGCTTTCAAGTTTTCTTTCAAAAGTATGACTGTTTCTAAACAACTTTTCTAAACTTTGAAAGTGCTTAATATTAGGCCAAAGTTTAAACTGAATTATCGAAAATTTCCTAACTATTCCAAAAATTTTAAATATTAGTGAAAACTTAGTATTTGTTTAGAAACTATGTACATGCCTACATACAAGCCTATGTAAAAACGTCCTTGCCCACATACATACTTATATACTAGTTAAAAACTAAAAATTAAAAAACTATTTTTCACTTCTCATATCTTGATTTCATAGATCTGTATTTTTTTAAATGATACAACGCTTCAATTTCGTTGCAAATGTATCTTCCCTTAACTAGTAATTCTTTAATCTTCTGTGGATGCTGTTCATCTTTATTTTTTATAAATGCTTCGTGACACTGGTTTCTAAATTTTATATAACCGGAAGGATGATTACGCCCAAGGAACAGTAACTTAAATATAAAAAAAATTGAATTATAATTTTTTTTATATCCTAAAAACAAATAACCTTCATACTTGTTTATAAAGTGCTCTAACTTTTGTTCTTAATTTCATACTAGCAAATTAGAGACGAACATTATTTTAATGTATGAACACAATGAAAATAAATCTACCTATGCAATTTACTAAATTTAGAAATTATAGATTCCTCATATATCGATATGAAGAATCTATATTAAAACAGAAAATATTGATGTTATATTAATGCATCGATATTGTAGCTACCATATTATCATTCTAACATCGATATTAGTTAAATATTGTAAGAAATATCGAAATATAATATTTGCACCATTTTTCATCAAAAAATCAAAAAAATCATGAGAATTTGGCAAAGCAAATTCAGATTTATTTTACTAGACACGTCATATATATAAATGTGTGAGGTGACAGTTTTTGCTATTCTTCTCGACGCGCGTTTCGCTTTTTGTCACATAAAGCGTTCATAACGTTAGTCTCCTAGACGTATTTTTGAGTCGCGTATATTTTGTTGTCAATAGAGATATGTATAAGAGTTGCTGCAAAATAAAATTTAAAGAAAATGGAGAAGGTATGAGTATAATTAAATATTTTAATAGAAAAATTGAGTGATATTAAGTAATTTTATTAATTCTAGTGTAAAAGCAATTTCAAATTTTAGTCGAGTGATTTATTTTTTTAATTTTCTTCGTCATTTTTGCCTCTACTTTTACAAAAAGCAAAGGAATATTCAAAAACATCTTACTTCCTCTAATTTACTGTTTATTATATTTACTTTTTTCTGTCACTAGTTCATTTAAAAACAATTTTCTAATCTTAATATCAAAAAATTTCAAGTTTTGCTTCTGTCAAATCACATTTTTCCACATTACTGAAAAAATATGCGACGTGACAAAAAAAATATGGCGCATCTAGTAAACTAAGACTGATTCATTTTGCAAAATAAATCTATACGAATTCAAACATAATAAAGTTCATAGCAAAGTATATTGTCAACATTTCAATTTCTTCTGGAGTCCAGAAATGATTTAGGCGAAATTTCATTCAGAAAATGTGGAGCCTATACAAACTCATGCCTTATATACTTAAAATAAAACTGCGACGAAATTTAAAATAGTACCGACCATAAAATTACCTAAGAATTTGCAACAATTGTGAAAACAATAAAATTAAAAAACGGAAAATATAGTCAAAGTTTATATTTATATAAGCAAAGAAACAGCTGCCCCAAAGTAGTATTGAAATTTTTACTGCAAATATTGTGCATGAACTAAAACGTAAAGTTTTCTTTATTGCAGCTAGAAAAACGAGCTGCTACTGCATTAACTTATCTAATCTAATCTAATCTAGTATATCTAATGTCTTTACATTTAACAAGTCCCAATACTCAACTTGTTTTACGAAATATTACGAATTTTTGGCTTCGTTCCTGTTTTTTTCTTTAAATGCTACTTATCGCGTCATATTTCTTATTATTTTTTTTTCTTTTTTTACGTAAAAAAGAGTTTAATATTTTAAAAAATCTCAGGATATTATACACATTTTTTAAAAAGCTTCCCATTTAAATTCTATTGCACGAAACAAATGTCAGGAAAGAACAAATGACAAAAAATTTCAAATTCATATATCAATTTCAGAATGGTTTCAAATGTTAATGAGGAAGGATGTATGATTTTTCATGCACATTTTGTATTTCCCAATAAGATAAGTTGAGTAGTGTTGGCTAACAAAAATGTTAATAAAAGTAATATAGGTTGACACATTTCAACAACTTGAATAATGTCATTTCGGTTATTTATACCTTACTTATAAAATCGTTTCAAATAATTTCAGTTAGTTTTTAACTTATTAAAAAAAAATGTATGTACCTACTTCCAATCAATTTTATTTAAATAATTATTTGAAAACAATTTCGAACATGTTATGTTGAGTGCTTCAAAAATTTTGTTGTGCTCTTTTTTCATATTTTATTAGCAGGTAAACAAAAGCAATCTGTCTATAAAATGGCCCTGCTTGTGTATGAGTCTTAATAGTAAAAGCTTTTAAATATTTTTTTACTTAGGTAATATGTTAAGTTTATACACTTCTAAATTTTGTATTTAAAAAATAATATTTGATTGTATTTTAGATATTATTTTCTAAGTTCCTCTTCAAATTTTTTCTTTACTATGTATTTATATCAATATTTAATAATTATCTTTCACTAATTACATTTTCAACTTGACACCACAGTTACTTCCCATATCTTGAGTTAACTTACCCTATGAAAAAAAAAACTGTTCACTCAAAAATAATGAAATGCTTTCAGTAACATATAAAAGGTTGAAGGCGAAGGTTGTGTTTGTTGTTTTTCCGCTGTTTCAAGAATTTTAAAATAATTATGAATGAAAATATTAATATATATTTTTTGATTTTTCAAATATATTTTCGAAATTTTCCTTGCTTTATAATAAGTGTGAATTTATTTTAATATTTCTTCTCAAAAAATAGCCACTTCGATTTAAAAAAACGCATATAAAATAAGGTCGTGCTTTCAAGTTTCTCTCTGAGCATTGGGATTTGTTAGATATAAAGACATTAGCATATCTATCAAAATGTAGTTCTATTACGTTATTTTTCATTTGCTTGCCACTTCCAAAATATTAAAATATTCCATTTTTATTTAGAAATAGATGGTAAAAAACGTTGTGTAGGTAAGAAAGAAAACAAAAACATCGAACTGAAATAATATTAAATTGAGTTATGTAAAAATTTTGTTATTTTTATTTTGATAACAACAAAATTTATTTTTCATTTCATAAAAGTTAGATAAAAACATTCGAATGTATGAAAGCAATAGTTATAAATTTAAAATTTCATACTTTGTACAGTACATACCTATTCAAGGTAGATATGTACACAATATGGCGTAGTAACATGTATGTACCACGTTTATATGGCTGCTTCTTGGTTATTATTATGTCTATATAAACGTTACTTGACTTGAAGCCAGCTTCACTCAAGTCGCTTACTGGACTTGAAATGTTAATAATGATTTGAAATTTAATAGCTAAACGTTTTTTTGGGCTTTTGACCTAACATAGTAAAAACGCAGCTTGCGTTTCGAGCTGATTTCACGTCAAGTACTCTTTCACGTCAAGCCGCAATGTAGACGAGTTATAGAAATGAAACAATTTATAAAAAAAATGCATATTAAATATTCATGAGAAATATTTGTTTAAAATTTTTAAAGACAAAATTAAAATAAACATAAAAAATTCATGTTTATATTACAATCAATGTAATGACAATTACTAATTACAAATTTTAAATTTTTTTTGTAATATTATTTGTCTTTTTCCAATTATATATGTACATATAAATTTTAATTTTTTTTTATTTTAATAGTCAAATTTTTTTTTTAAATCGCTTCGCTTTTATAATATGGATACACCATTTCTGCCACCTTGTAGTGGAATAAATTACAGAAATGAAACTCCCGCTTTTGAAATTCTTAGTATTTTTTTCTATACTTTATATACAGAAAAATAAATAACTCTCGCTATTAAATATACATTATAAAAAAACAGGTAGACATCCTATTACGTGCTCTTTTCCTCTCTCAAAAATTCTTGTGTGTATAAAATTGAAAATAAGAAGCCATTCTGTTTAAATTTTTAACTAAGACAATTTTTTGTATACAAAATTGGTGAGTGATTGCATTAGTGTGATGTAAACGGAGAGTCGAAATATTTCTTAGGTAGATATATGTACTTTGCTTAGGCCTTCAAAAATGAACACAACATATTTTTAGTTATGGGGTTTTTGGTTTGTTTATTAGAATCAGTGAACGGAACTATCGAATAATTCGAATTGTTACGAAAAATCTAGTCATTTTAGATATTCGAATGGATAATATAAAATATCAAATTTATTTATTTATCCAGTTATAATCTCAAGATCAAATACAATCAAACATAGAAAATAAAACCAAAACAAAAAATATTTAGCGACAATAAATCTGTACAGAAAGAAAAAAATAGTAAAGGTAGAAAAATAAAATTTACAACTGTATGAGTCCATGAATCACAATATTTTTTTAACACTCTATTAAATAATTCCTTTTTAAGTTGAGAAGTATTAAGAAGTTTTGACGAATTGTCGACATTGTTGTACCAAGTGATTCCTATATGCATAGGCGTTGCCTTTTCATAATTAACTGTATTTTTAAGGTTGAATTGTGTACAATGTTTATATCTCGTATTTATCCTATTGATTTCATTTCTTCGAACTAATCTAGTTGTAGAGTGAATTTGCGATTTACTTAACTTATGTATGTATATGTAAAATTAATATAATTTTTATTAAGGGTATAATCGGAAAGTAGTCGATGCAGCATTGATAAGTAATCGTGTTAAAATCATGTATGAAAATGCATTAATACGGCAATACTTTAAATATTTGGTGCACAAAAATGTCAAAAGTACGCATCGAATGGGCATCAGATTATATCAACTGTGCATGAATTTTTTTTGTGATTTTGTATTGATGCAAAGTTTTTTATATGGAAGGTGAGAAGAAAATATATTATTATTTTAACTTAATAACTAATAAAGTTAATTGTTTCTTTATTATTTCTATATTTTTAAATTTTCCATTATATTAAAATCTACAAAACTTATTTGAAATTAAAAAATTCCCGGCGGGTGGAGGTGGGAATACCCGTAGTAGGAATGCTTGCGATAAGAGTCCACTAAAATCCAGTACCAATGCAGAAACGTCTGATCCAGAATGGACGGCTGTCCGGTCTGCGACTAATCCCTGAGTGACGGCAGAAATTGAGTGTGCTGCCTTGCACAAGGTATTTATTGCGACAATCAGAAAAATACCTACATGGGTGCAGTTAATGAAATAAGAGACCAGAAAACTGATAACTGCCACTTAAATATAAGAATAAGTGAGCTAGAAGCGCTTTGTAAAGAATTAAAAAATGAAATCCAGCATCTCAGGGAGGAAAGCATTAAGCTAAAATTGGAATCAAGCAATGAAAATGCAATAAAAGAAATAAATACGCGAAAAATTGCGACAAACAAAGTGGAATACTGCACAGAAGAGAAGGCTCGGGAAACCGATTGGATTCTCAAGAGAAAAAGCAAAAATCGAAGAGCAGATTTGTCACCTGAAATAAATCCTGAGGACAAGGTTGCTCACCTTAAATAGAAAAATCTGTGCAGAT